TTAAAATATGAGGTTTCTGACTAAATTATTTCCTAAGATACAGTCCTGCAAAGTTGGGGGAAAAACGGTCAAGGAGCCGAAATTGATGTTTTTTATTTATTTTTTAAACCATACTAAACAATAACAATATTTTTTTTCGGATTTCTAAGTACATATAGATTGTGCTAAGATATTATAAAAGTCAATTAAAAAGTATAACTTTAGTTATTAATCACCAAAGTTGCCCCCTCCGGCTATGCAAGCAAATGCGACATTCCACCTCTACGTGATGTACGATTTTTCGCGTCCGACAATTTTTTTTCTTGGTGAAAATAATTCTGATTTTGTTTATTTTGTACATCGGGAAATAACATATAAAATTGTGAAGCAAATTAAAAGGGTCGACCAGCCGCCCCCTGTTCGATCTTATCTGAAATCACCCTAAATATATTTACTTGCTTGACGTCGTCACCGATGGTTCACTGATGCAGTCTGTTTTGTTCCCTCAATGCTGCTGTAGTATTCTTCCTAACCTTGTGGTTGCGCTATTTTAGCTCAGCGTGTATATCATTACCAACTAGCCCAGTTTTCGACCTTATTACAGTAGAAGAGGCTGTTCACAAGCCTTGATTATTCTAGGTGGCGTTTTGAGCGAGCACGCAACTCAAAGATATTTCGGAGACGGACGGAGATGGACGGAAACAAAGTGAACAAACACAAGGCGCCTTATGTTTGTTCCCTTTGCCTCCATCCTTGTCTGTGATTTCAGCGCTATTACTTTTTAAAGACTTCGAACCAACTAGCCCACCTGTCCGCTTTGCAGCGTTTAGGAGCTCGTGTCGCAGAAAACCCGGCGTCGGCGCAGGGGTCGGTGGGACCGGAAAATCCCGGCATGCACATAGTGCGTCACGAGGGTTAAATTTTCCTACTAAATTTGGCGGGAAACGTTTTCGCTCAATTTAGCGGGTCGATAGGGTTATGACGTCCAGCCACGTGTGACGTCACACCGCACGACCTCGCGCGGGAATTTCAAGCAACGCACAACGCTCAAGTGTGACGTCACGTGACACGTGACTCTACCGTCTAGACCACGCACGCACGCTTGCAGGCCGTGGGAACGAGCGCGGGTTTATATGAAAAAGCTTTGCCAACGGGGTCCGATAACGCCATCGCGTTCCACCCTTAAAGGCGAAGCTTAAGCGTCCCCCAAGTTCTTGAGACCTCTGGCCTAGAATAATGAGTGCCTGCGAACAGCCTCCTCTACCTCAGCGTGATCGCACTATAGGATGGCACCCGATTCAGCAATTCGGCACGAGTTTGACGCCGAGCGTGGTTCGACCGATCGATTAGACACGGGGACCAGCCAAATGCCGACGCTGCGCTCGTGTCCGGCCCTCGTCTGCGCTCAACCTCGATGGGACGACAACGAAATGCTAGTGCGTGGGGTTTGATTATTCAAAGTGGTGTTGCTCGAACGGCGGCCTCTGACGTTCCTTTAAAGCGAGGTTCTTAGCGTAAATTACCCTCTTGATTTTGGAATGGCGTATTCTTTGCAGCCTATATTTGACAACTGAATGACGCCAAGCAGAGTTTAGTTCGCATAAAGCTGATTGGCATGGCCAATGAACTTTCAGCTAACTAAACTCTAGTGATGGACCGAATCTGCCGAGCTTCAGATTCGGCAAAGTTCGGCGCATGCCGAACTTTTGAAGGAAAGTTCGGCAAGGATTCGGCAGAAATTCGGCAAACGTCTGCGCACGAGCGAGAGCGCAACGGGGTTATGGATTGCAAATGAACGCCGTGCGATCGTGCGTTTACCATCGTATACAGTGTGGTAATACCAGCGGTTACGGCAAGCCGTGGAGTAGGCGACATAATAATTGTGTGTTTGTCAGCCCTTGTGAATATGGTTCTCTTCAATTTTTTCTGCCTCAAGAAGGGAAGATCGACATGACATTGACGCAAAAACGACGTAGTCTACTGCACAAGTGACGAATGACCCGGTACATTCGAGATAACGTCATTTTGATTTGATCTTTCCAGTGATGCAACAAGGTAATTGCAACATTGACTGACAATCACTCCTCGCCACTATAGCAATCCTGTCTTCGGCTTACATGTAGTTTGTTCTAAAAAAAAGATAATATTGCTTTTCAATTAGTGTTATTTCGCGGTTTTTATCTATCCGAATAAAACGAAACACTGAACTATCATGCTCGACCTTGCACAGCCGACATTCCTAACTCTTCCCATCTTCCTAAACTTCCGGTGTGTCCTAACATCAGAAACCGTCAATTTAAAAGTTAAAACGAGACGTTGCGAATATGGGACGCACGTTCATGCAAAGCTGAAGTGACTCAAATGAAAAAAAAAAAACACATCCATATTTATAGTAAGTACTATTGTTATCTCTTCTGGCGAAGGCTCAGCAGCCGTTGCATTCATTCTTTGCGCACGAAGGGGTGACTCCAAAAAAAAGTAAGGACTCAGTGTTAGCGCCTTTATTTTAACAATACACACTTGCAGGCTTGCGCGGATGAGGTTTAAAGGGATGCTGAACCGAAATCTGGATTCCCCAAAACACGCGGCACAAGCGCGCAACGGGATGCTACAAACACCAAAACATCACTCACACAGCGATATATCGAACGGATGACCGTATTTCTAAAAAAAAAAAAGAGGCGCGTTTGGCAGGACTGTTTCTCCGAGAAGGAGAGGGAACGGCCTCGCGTCTTCTCCGCCTCGCGGCCTTGAGGGAGCAGAGAGGAGGAAACTAAGTATCTTGACGGTCACGCGCCTCGTCGGCCTGGTTCAATCTCGACTTTTTTTGCCAAAAATACGGCCGTCCATTTGAGATATCGCCTTACTAGTAGTGTTGTAGGGATAGTAGCGTCCCGCCTACATCTCCAGCATTGTTTTTTTTTAACATCCAAATTACGGTTCACCATTCTTTAAAAACCGAAGCTAGTAACTTGATTCGTGACTGCGCTCCGCTACTACCCAACCCCGTTGTCACACCACTTCTGCAAAAGTCGCTTTAAAATTACCAGCAAACAAACACAAATTATACCGAAACAATTATCTTGTAGAATATCACCCTATTTAGTAATAACTGTTTCAATATTATCTTTAAAACAGAAAAAAAAAACTAAATATTTTTGCACGAAAAAACGATATATTCACTTTTAGGTCTGGCAACAATGTATTTTTGTCGAATCTTTGCCGAATCTTTAAAAAAGTTCGGCAAAATCACGGCTTTGCCGAATGCCAAAATTCGGCGCCGAAATTTCCGATTTGGCAAAAGTTCGGCCCATCGCTACTAAACTTTGCTTGCAATCCGCCGCAACAAATTAATCTTAGAAAAAATTGTCCCCCGTCTCAGGTTAATTCATTATGGCTAAATAATCGTAAACAAAAAAAAAAGTGTCTTGTTTTGTTTTAAGTGTTATATTTTCAGTACTTATTTCTTTCCCGCGATAAAACATGTACAACTTTACCGTTTTCTTGAAGATTGCCTTAACTCCCTTTGTTTCTTGTTTCCAGGAGAGTAGCTAATAGACATCTTAGGGTTAAACATTTTGGCGAATATTTGAACGTATAAAGTCGCAATGCACTACCCATACATCATACAAAAAGGCAGCGTTGTTCGCTGCAAAGAGGATGACAGGATCGTCTTGGGACACATCTTAAGCATCATTGAAGCATGTTCGCTTTATACATATGCGTGCTTCGAACATGTATGAGGACAGTTTTTTCTGGGATCAATGTGACAAGATCCTCAAGGAAGGAACGCGTCCCACAGTATGCAAACTATCGTTTGTATGATGTACATGAGCAGCGCAGTGGCGTACAAACTTGTCTTTGAGTGACGGGGGGGGGGGGGGGGGGCAAAACAGACCCACCCCCCGGGTTGGTGGTTGGTGCCCGTGGTATCTCTTGGGCGCCGACGGACGGTATTTGCCCTGCCCAGTAGCGGCTGTTTCAGGGGTGGGGGGGGGGGGAACACATGCCTTGCCCCCCACTCTGAGAACTGGGAGGGGCAAGCGCCCCTTTGCCCCTCCCCCCCCCCAGGTTTGTACGCCCATGGAGCAGCGTCACTGTGGCTTAGTTTTTCCGGTCGTTTTGTCGAGCTTTATCAAACCTACCTTCCTATCGAGGAAGCTCCTTAAGTTGGTTGTCGTCCATCTTGTTTTTAGAGCGCAGCTCTTAGGGGCCCGTTCCCGGCTTGAGCGGCGTCGGCGTCGGCGTCGCCGTCAGCGTCGGCGTAACCAAGGTCACCCCAAGGTCACGCGACCCCCAAGGTCATCCCAAGGTCACGTGACCCCCAAGGTCATTCCAAGGTCACGTGACCCCAAGGTCACGTGACCTCCCCTGATGTCACGTGACCTCCCGAGGTCACGTGACCCCCCGAAGTCACGTGACACCCCCGAGGTCACGTGACCACCTCCAGGGTCACGTGACTCCCCGTCGAGGTCACGTGACCTCCCCGATGACGTCATCGTCACTGATGACGTCCTCGGCATCCGCATCGTCATCATCACTTATGACGTCATCCGTGACGTCACTGTTGACCTCACCGGCATCCGCATCGTAACGTCATCATCACGGATGACGTCATGAGTGACGTCACTGATGACGTCACCGACATCCGCATCGTCATCGTCATCATCGCTGATGACGTCATCGGAGTCCGCATCGTCATCGTCACTGATGACATCATCGGCATCGTCACGTGACCCCCCAAGGTCACGTGACCCCCCAGGTCACTTCACCCCCCAGTACCCTTCCCTCCTCCTCCTCAAGAGCTGCGCTCTGATTCGGTGTTACAGGGAGTTGTAACGGCTTTCACTCTTTTAAAAGCACTTTCAACAAAAAAAGATATGTGCGTAGAAGGCGTTTGAGAGTGGCTGTGTGGGTATATATAGGATGCTTGAGCAATAAACCAGTTAGTTGATATTGACACGTTCCCTTCTGTCTCTGTTCCTTCGACAAAAAGTTTTTTTCTTCTTTTTTTTTTACAGAACGCTCACCGTCATCACCGCTCCGTCATCATGCTCCTGGGCATCCTCATTGGCATGGCGCCTGCCATCATGGTGGTCTCGGCTAACCCTGTTGCGGCGCTGCCGGTCCTAGAAAAAGCAGAGAATCACGTCAGTGAACTGTCGAAGATCGTAGTGGACTTGAAGAGTGAGACCGTTTTCAGAATAAACCTAAAGACCTGTTTAGACGTACAGCGCAGCGCTACCCCAGCGCTAAATCAACTATAGAAACAGCAGTCACCTGGCTTTTTTTTTTTTTTTTAAATATTGGTTTGCATTTAAGTGGTGCTTATCAGCACTATCAGCGCTGCGCACTAATATGACGCAAAGTCCGCGCTGCATAAGTGTAAAGTCAGCCCTATTTCTAGCGCTGACTAATAGTGCTGTGGTGGGTTAACACAGAAATATCCGTAACTTCTTTGACAGGCACCTCCGAGGCAAGGAACGTATTCATCAAACCATATTATATCAGCGTAATATGTTTTATTCAACATCTTACATTCATATATGTGTCTCGAATTGAAGTATGACCGTCCAGTCAAAGGCTCATCAACCTACTGTATTTATTAATTTTTGTACAGTCGCTGCGAGTGGCGTACTGAGTGTTTTATAGCTAAACCTATTGAAACGTAGAGTCGGTATTGAAACAGATCGAAAAAAAATCATGAGCCATTCCACTCTGCGAAGGTGTATGACCAGCGAAGCTGCTTAGCACACTACACAGACGTGACACACAATTTCGAACAGGGGTACGAACACATTTATTGTCTTGATCGGTGGTCATCGTGACGAAAGGTGCGCACACACTTCTCGAGGACTATCTACCGCTCCGAGGAGCCGGGGGAGACTAGACACGCGCGACGGGACCGCCACCGGACGGAAGGAAAGGAAACTAGGCACCCAAGCGCTTGGAACGACGACGACAAAAAGAGCGGTGCGCTTCCCTCCTCCTCCTCCTCTCCTCCTCCTCTCCTGCTGCCGCTGAATTTTCCCGCTATATTTAGCGGGGAAAGACTCCCGCTAAATTTGGTGGGGAGATTTAGGTGACGGGACACGAAGTCGTGAAGTCATTTTCACCTCTAAATTTAGCGGGGAAAATGAATTCGTGTCCAGGTCGCGTGACGTATATTTCCCAGCTAAATTTAGTGGGGAAACTTAAGTCGCTAAAGTTAGCTGGAAAATTTCCCAGCTAATTTCAGCGAGGAAATTTTTCCGCTAATTTTAACGGTAAAAATTCCCCGCCAAATTTATCGGGAAAATTTACCCACTAAATTGAGCAAGAAATTTTCCTTTTTAAATTTAGCGGGAAAATTTTCCCGGTAAACTCAACGGGAAAGTTTTCCCGATAAACCTGGTGGGGACATTTTTCCGCTAAATTTGGCGGGGAAATCTTTCCGCTAAATTTAGCGGGGAAAAATGATATTTTGTTGAAGCACACGAAAAATCCACGGACCCCTAGCCATAAACAGCTTCGCTGTAAAAGAAAAGTGACCAACAGTTGGAACTGCAAAATCGTCTGACGAAGCGTTGCGTTGTCGTGAATACGCCGTGGGCGAGAGTGGTTCAAGCCGTTCCCACTCTTCAACATCGGGGATTCTTCGGCACACAGTTATCGTTGTCAAAACGCTTTTTTTTATTACATTGATACAGTCATCTATGATCCTTGCCAGACTAGCGGCTTAAAAACCACCAATGACGGTAAAATAGTAAATAAAAAAGAGATATTTCTGCTTTCAACGAGCAAGCAAAACGAGACCCCATGTGCAGAGTCGTGCGTGGCAGGCAAACGCCTGTGGTAAAGAAGCGGCGTTCCGAAAGCGTTCTTTCGGAACGGCTGCTGTCTGCCGACTTCCCCCGGTTCCAAAGATGGCACGGGCCAGGCAATCGTGTTCCCGCTGTGCTGGCGCGACTGCAGCGACACGCGTTGCCCTCTCGTCTACCAGGCAATCGCTTGTTTGTGGTAATATCTTTTAGTGTCCACTGTAAGTACCCTCAAAACATACTGTTTAACGATTCACTCGCATCACCAATCAATCAAGGTGCACTGAAATGGTTTCCGAGATCGGCCATTTATGGTGATAACTCAATCTACTAACTCTGAACATAAAAAAAAAAAAAAAAAACACTTGAAAAGACGTTTATGGATGGTGGTCGAATTTTCTATTAAACGTTTAATCAGAGATCGTATCACGCCTTTCTTTCTGCGGCCTGGAAAAGACACCAGGGTACGCCGTCAGATGGCGTTTTCAAGAAAATATTACTGTATTACGTCTCGACGCCCAAAAATGTGACGTTTTCGTCATAATATACTCCAGAACGCGGCTAAAAAAGAGCAATATTAGTAACGTTGGAAATTCCCGCGCAATTAAATATTTTAATTGGTCAAAGTTTCTGAAGGTGATGGGGACGCCAGGATGGCCCCCAAGAGAAAATTGCGCCTGTGTATTTCGATTGCTGTTAGTTAACTAAAGCGCCTTGCCATATAGAACTGTCTAGTTTTATTGACTAAAGCTCAACAAACAATATGCCATCAAAACAAGCTTATACAAGGGGATTGAGAGACTACCACCACTTTTACAACCTCCACCTCTACAAAAAGTGTGGTAGACCAGCACAACGTAGCATCGGACATAAGAGTGACATCTATCTCTCGTTTTCATTCAATCCGCTTAGCTAGTGAGCAGGGCGAGCGCTCTCGTGCTCTGATGACGTTTCATCCTCATGGGCAAAGGAAGGCGCGCACACACTTTTGCGTCTGATGGCGTTTTATGTTTGTTCTCGAAGTAAAGTTTGAGACCTGAAACTGATAGCGTATGACCAGTTTGTACTTCGTGCGTGACTCGAAATGTATTGCGGGACGCCATGGCTTGCAGAAATCTTTGTGTTTTTGTGACTGTGCTTGAAATTTGCGCTTCTGAAAGCATGGCCTAGTATAACTGATTTATTCTTTCCATTTTTCTTTCTTGGGACAATGCGCTCACTCTACTGTCTCCAGAAAGCCTTCGCCCTCGAGATTGCGGAGACCTGCTAAAGGCTGGACAAGTAAACAACGGAGTTTACGTCATATTTCCGACCTCGGATTCCAAGGGAACATCGGTCTATTGCGATATGAACACCGACGGTGGAGGTTGGACTGTGAGTGTTTCAGTTTAAACAATTGAATTCGCACGCATCTCATGGTGAGTTCCTGTTATTCTAAACATGTCACATAGTTTGTCGGTGTCCCACGACAATTGAAATGGACAACAAGGAAGAAATCGTGAGCTTTCAGTCTACCCCAATATTCTTCGAACATTGCGTTGTGCGACACAGTTAGTGCAAACACTAAAGTTCCTTGATAAATTCACGCTTACAAAGTGCCGCCAATCACTGTCGTGGAAACGCGCAAGACGGGAGCCAAGACCGGGTGCTCCGCCGCCATTCGTTTCCAGAGCCGCTCATTTTAGTGCTGCGCCGCCATTTTCTTCCAAGGGCCTCTCGAGACACGGGCCTTGTGCAGTGGCGCGTTTGACGCTACTTGCAAGGCAAATGAAAGCTCATCAGGGGGCTTTAGCAAACACGACATTGTTACTCTTCTGTATTTTACTCGTATACAGACTACTCGACTAATACCGGCCGCCTGAGTTGGTGTAAAACATGTGGATATTTCACTAGGCTAATAGTTTCTCGAAATCGTTCAAACCCATTCGTCTACAGCCAAACGATATTCGCCTTTGCAAGAATACCTTCCACGGAAATGACGGAAAAGATTGAGGGGAGCTTCATAACATTGTCTTTACATTCACCTCCAGGTTATTCAGAATAGAGGCCAGTATGGGAACAGTGTCTACTACTTCTACCGAAACTGGACGGAGTATGCAAATGGATTTGGAAGCAGGGATAAGGAATATTGGATTGGTGAGTGTCGCACGCTAATGACGTGTATAGTATCCCCCAGCTCTTATGGGGAGAATTTGGCAACTCTTAAGCTGTGCCTCTTGAAGACTTCATCGTTACCGAGTCCCCAATAGCAGAATGAGCCACATGCGTCGTGATTGATTCAGTACCTCAGCGCGCTTTCAGTACTCTTCTACTGAGATGTTCCAAAATATTGGCCCAAGCGCAGTGCACGCGAAACGGTGGTCCTTTGAATCAAAAAGCAAAAGGAAGAATGTACAAAACAGCCCTAATTCGGGTCTTAGAAAGTTATGTCTAAAAGATTATATATATATATAAGTCAAAGATGCGTACTGTCAGAGTTACTAATTCGAAGTTTATTACGACGTTTCGAGCGGGGACCGCTCTTCATCATCACCTGATGAAGAGCGGTCCCCGCTGGAAACGTCGGAATAAACTTCAAATTAGTAACTCTGACAGTACGCATCTTTGACTTATTAACTTTTCCTTACTTTACCTATATATATACAGGGTGTTATTTTTTATTCGAAACAGATTTATTTTAAAAAATCCGTAAAAGATGGAATGATACGGTTTATGCAGGTGAGTTATGCGGCCAGGGGGACATTTTATAGGGGGCTAATCGTAACGATCAGTTGGCTAATTAATTGAAATTCGCTAATTAACTTTTCAATTAATGAAAATAGACATATGGTTCCAATTAGAAACTTGCACAGCGTCACCGAAAACCACTAAATCAGTCATTTTCAGAAAGACTTTGAGCGCGTGAGAAGCGTAGTAGTGCACTAAATTTACCGCTCTTTGAGCAGGTACAAAGCTAGCCGTTGCGGTAAGGCGCCCGCGCGATTTTTCCGTCTCTTATCTAGCCCCAGCCTTGTACCTGCTCCACGAGTCGTAACTTTAGTGCACTACTACGCTTCTCACGCGCTCAAAGTCTTTCCGAAAATGACTGATTTAGTGGTTTTCGGTGACGCTGTGCAAGTTTCTAATTGGAACCATATGTCTATTTTCATTAATATAAAAGTTAATTAACGAATTTTAATTAATTATTCGAATGATTGTTACGATTAGCCCCTATAAAATGTCCCCCTGGCCGCATAACTCACCTGCACAAACCGTATCATTCCATCTTTTACGGATTTTTTAAAATAAATCTGTTTCGAATAAAAAATAACACCCTGTATATATATGCAGGGAAAACGCATTTGGGAGGCAACTTGCGGGCGCTAACCACCCTCACTCTCGGTTCTTAGCAAACAAACCTCGGCGCCTCGGGACACTTCGCCAGTGAGTCCTTTGACTTCCCTCCTTAATGCGCGTCGGCTAGTTGTTAGACGAAAACAACGTACCGCTTGAGTTATTTCGTCTGCCCTCTCTGAGAGGCGAAGTCGAGCTCGCTCGTAAAGACCTGCTCTTCCGAAAGTCGCAGAAAGGTAAGATTGACGCTGACGACGTTGCGAGCAGACAACGTTGCAAAAGAGCAGACGACCCTCAGATAGGGGGTCGCGATCAGCCAATCAGGGCTCGGCGTTCTGACGTCACCGCTACCCCCTGCGCAAAAAGCAGACGAACTTTCCCTCCGCATTTTTAAGGCTACGGCAGATTAGCAACAATACAGTGGAAAAAACGTCCGACAATGTTGATGGGCTATAAACACTTGTCGTCAGAGGGCTGCGTCGTTATTGTGGCATTGTACTTCTCTTCCTACGCACAGGGACTGCCTCCTTTCACTCAGGAGTCCCAGATAAACACGTCGCCGTTCACAACTAGCTTATCATATGAGAGATGCAGTTTGTAGCTCTTATCTTGCCTTATTTGTTTAGAGTCTTCCAAAGATTACGCCTTTTTCGCAAAGTGGTTTACTGAAATCTTCGGGTACACTAAAGTCGGTGTTTTCCAATTTTAATCCAGAGTGTAGAATATCTTTTTTTTTGGTCCAAGACATAAAGGTTACTCTCACTGGTCTTTTGACACCATCTTTAAAGTAACCAATCTTGTGCGCCCTCTGGATCGTAGCAGGATTGATTTCCATGATTTCATTACAAATTCGTACGACCTGGTTCTTTGATTCCTCCCAGGTTTTATTGCGCTTTCCGTCGGGTATGCCGTAAAACACAAGATTGCACCGGCGGCTGCGGTTTTTGAGGTCATCGATATGCTCCTCTATCCTTTTGTTCTGGTCCTCAAAATCCGCAACACGCTTTTCCTTCTTGTTTGCTCTTTATGTTAGAAAGTTTAATCGTAACATTGACCATACGGACTGTTAGCCATTCGAGCATAGTTTATATTTTTGTCATCTGTTCAGCTTTCGTCGGTAACATTGGCCGTAAGTAAGGGTAGCATGGGTCAAATCTGACTCGTCGGCAGCAATCATGAAAAGAAAAAAATGTCGCACTCCATGTCCTATCAAAACTTTTATTTTGCATCAAAACAAATTGACGTGAGCCTCGGCACTCATATCGTTATTCCGAGGTTCAATAACGACTTGCAGAGGAGGAGCATAGCAGCTCTTGACTTTGTGCTTAATTACTGATTGCTCGCCATGGGTGCTGCCGAGGCCGGAAAGGTGGCTTATCGTAATGGTAGGATAGTAACTATAAGCTAACGCATTTTTTTACAAACAAGGCCGCGTTTGACCACACCGGGTGTGTAGGCACTGCGCGTACGCAGAAACCAGATTCGCGTGCGGCAAAGCATCTGCGCATGCGCAGTGCGAACAGCAACGCCATTGCAGTGGCGTGACGTCACAGCGCCTAACGACTCCCGAGCATCTTCTTATCGCCCCACAGACAATCAGATTGCTGCGTTAGCCGATAAGAACGCCGAAGTAACGAATCCCGAACTAAAGAGCGTGAACAAGCCACTTCCTGCGTTTTTTCACCAGTGAATCTCTATAGATGCTTGAAAGTACGGCCTCGGGGCGCCGCCATCTTGCTGCTAATGTGTGCAGATCGTCTGATAGCCAAGCATTGCTGGTGCGTACGCACGGACTCAGCAACGCTTGACTATGAGACGATCTACCCACACCACTAGCAAGGTGGCGTGCCTTGAGGCTGTACTTGTAAGCGTGTACAGTATAAAGAGTTCCCAAGCTGATAGTGACAACGAGTTCATTTCATTAAGGCGGGTTGTGGGCTCAACGGGTTCTACAACTGGAAAGGAGACGTACGTGCTTTTTGTGCAGTGCGCGAGTTCAGTTCTGGTTGTTTCACTAAAACGATTAATACTGTATACGCATACTAAATACTGCTACGCCACCGTCTGACTACACACTTTCCTTTCTTTGACTTGACAAGGAAACGACGTGCTGCACACACTTACTTCTCAAGACAGAGGATTCACTTTACGAATTGAACTGAAAAACGAGACAGGAGAAAGTCTCGTTGCGAACTACAAAATCTTCAAAGTCGCGTCTCAGGCCGACCGCTACAAAATGACGGTTGGCGGCTATTCCGGACCACCAGGTGAGACTGGCTCATACATTTATCCTTTTTTATCTGTTTAGTCTTCAATAAAATTTACAACCAGAATTAATAGGAAAAAGAAGAAACATGACACTCAGCTCTCAGGTACGCATGCATACTCCTCTTCGACTTTGGAGTCGAAATGCCGTTCGCTAAACTTGTAAATCGGATTGGCCAGAAAGGATGGTAATCATTATCGAACTCATATGGCCATACATTCTTAGTGGTAAAAAGATGTCTTCTTGGGAGTGCGAGTGAATGACCGTTAGGACAGCGCTCGCCGTTCTTACTATCTCAGCTAACTCAAGGAATTCCAAGGATTGGCGCCTGAGGTTCTGTGCCTTCGTGCTTACTGCAACAATTGCGCACCGCTTACCAGGCTCACACGTCTGCTCTTCAGAGTTTCCCACATAAGGAACCTGTAAATGAGCCTGTGAATCAATGGCGTTGAAACGAGGGGGGGGGGGGGGGGGGGGTTATCACTTTTTACTGAACTTTCAAAAATTCACTTTTGGTGGAGCATAATCTCGCTTCCTCCCCGAATAGCTCCGACACTTCGGCTACGGTACATTCAAGCAATCAAGCAAATGGCTATGAGGATATAACGACGTTCAAAAGTCTACTCACTTTGCAACATATTTTAGAAGCACTTTCTGTGACGGGCTCAATTTTGATTACTGATTGTACGCATGCCCTGCAGAAAATAAGGTAAAAGTGTTAAAGGGCTTATAGACTGGAGGCAATTTGGAGATAAGTGTAACCCGCACACGCCGAATGGATCGCGCATTGGTTAGATATGACAAGCTGAGTTTCCAGATGCCCGCGTGGCATGGCTGTAAATACGGCATTATCACTTTTGATCTTAATTATTTGCTATAATGTTAGGGTCATAATAATATAAAGACATTCATGCAACAGTTATTAGGAGTGATAACCCCTTAATTCACTCCTATTCACAGGTTCGGACTCGTTCAGCTACACGAACGGAATCAACTTTAGCACCTTCGACAGCGACAACGATAATCACAGTAGCAACTGTGCCACGACCTACAAAGGCGGTTGGTGGTACGCCGCCTGCCACAGCAGCAACCTCAATGGCCTTAACTTGAACGGGCCACACACGAGCTTCGCTGACGGCATCGAGTGGTCCAGGCGGAACCACGTCGGAGGCTTGCATCATTACTCCTACCCCGAAGCGCGGATGATGATCCGGGAAGCCAACCCTATGCCCGAAGCAGTTTGACCGAGTCGGCATCACCTTCCATGAAAAACTGGGCAAATCGGTATGAAATAACGTTTGCTGTATTGACAGTACTCAAGAATAAATTGACCTCTATCTAAAATGGAGCGCAACCCGCGCCGTTTAGGCGACTGGTGGCGCTTCAAAAAATCCGCCTGTGGTCTTCCATTTAATGATTATATTGCCGAATATATGACCGAAAAGAAACACATAAATCTATAAGATTCGAGTGTGCTCTTACCGCGAACGCGGAATGTAAGGAGACCAACATAACCTCGCCGAGCCAGTCTTGCCCTAGCTCACCCCCGAACATCTAGGTCGAATATCCTAGACACTGAGTGTAGTATATGTAATGAGTCTCGCCCATTTCAGCTCTCACGCCGACACCGCGACGTTCACAGCTGCTGTTTCGACGCCCATTATTTTTGCTTCTGGCACATGTTCGCCAGCTAAATCTTTATACACGAACTCCACTCTCCTACGTCACGCCGCGGTGGTGGCGCGTCAGGCACACTTCCGGTCTGGGGCGGTGGGCAGAAGTCGCCGTGCGAGACATGCACTCTTGTGTTCCTTTGGAAGAAACCAGACAAAAAACCTGCCTTCTCGTCAAAATGCTGCGATGGGGGCTGTACCAAGAGAGTCTGGAAAGGTTTTAAGATCAGTTTTTATGTGTTTCTGCCCCCTCCGTTCGTCCGAGAATGTGGATAGCAGCCGTGAAAAGGGCAAACCAGACGCTGTAGAACTACGATTGCTTGTGCGGGCAACACTTTGTGGTCGCCAGATGTATTTGCTTTGTTCCAACATGAACGAGAGAAAACCGCCAAGATGTCCGTACCACCCACGGGTTCAGTGCGTCTTCAAATTCACACGGCCACCTGATCGTTCGAACTTTCGTCTGCTCTTTCAAACTTGTCTGCTTTTTGTAGTCTGCTCGTTCAAACAAAAGCGGCCGGTAGACCGAACTTTGACCCGGTGATTGCAATGAAAAGTAATTGCAGGCCTCAAAAGACTTAAGCAGGCTCGGTGTAAACAGTAGATACAAGATGTTGATCATTGGTACCGGTGGCCATCACCGACTTGTTGCGCTTGGTCTGTTCCCACTTCCGATTTTCAGTATTGACGTCGATCATCGCCGCTACTTTCTACACTTTTGCAGTACGGGGGACGTCGCGACCGAAAATAGCTTGAAGAATCTCATCATGGGTTTGGCGTCCATTCTGCAGCGTTCATACGAATGAATCGCCGCACGTCAAAATATTTACGCAAAGTTTAGCGGCGTAACGAGCTTTGATAATTGCGCTCAGGCGATTACAGTGGTAAGACATTGCGATGAGGACATAGAATCTACAATTCCAACGCGAAAAAGAGTATGCAGACTCACACAGACGCCGACAACGTGACATTCCAATGGTTTGTTGACGCGGGACGCTGTGCTTCTTGCCCGTACTCCATTGCTCATGCGTTCGAACTGTCGTCTGCTCTTTCAAACTTGTCTGCTTTTTGTCGTCAACTCGTTCAAACGACAGCGGCCCTTAAACCAAACGTTGACCAGGTAATAGCGATAACAACTAAGTGCAGGCCTCAAAACACTTTTGAAGGCTGGTTTGGGTAAGTAGGCCAAGTGTAAAAAGATACAAGGAGATGTTGATCATTTTTACCAGTGGCCATCACCGACTTGCAATGCCCGATTCTACTTGCGGTTTTGAATATCGACGTCCACCATCTCAGCCACGGTCCACGCTTTTGCAGCCCGAGCGTCGTCGCGACTGAAAATAGCGAGCAGAATCTCATCGTGGGAGTCAGGCTTTAGCGCCCATCCTAAGGCGTCCACGTGAAATGAATCGCCGCACGTCACATTATTCGCGCAAAGTTTTGCCTCGTTAATGTTGTTGAAGCCGCTGAAGTGGTCAGACATTGTTAGGAAGACGTAGAACCAACAATTCTAACGCGAAAAAGAGCACGAGGACTCCCACCGACGCCGACAACAACGCAATTCAATGGTTTGTTTATGGCGACGGTGGGCTTCTTGCCCACCATCCACCGCGCATGCGCGGCACCGGTGGCGTCCGCTAGGGGCGCTCCGGTTTGTTTGTAAACATGACTTGGTGTATATTCACTTTACGCCTGTCGAGTATTTTTCATTCGCGACATTTCTGGTGGAGGTTCGTGGTAACAAAGACAGAAGAGACGATGAGCACCCAGCCGCCGCCAAACCCGTTCAGCCCATCCGTCGTCGTTCTGCCCCTCGCACCCCGTACTCCGCCGCCTTCCATGGCAACGTCTACAAGGACATTGATGAACAGACGCAGCATTACGAGCGAGTTGCCTGTCATAATGGGTGGACGCTGTAAAGGTACAGCGGATACAAGTATTTGGTTCCCCCTGTCTTTGTAAATAGTTTGTTAATCCTCGGGATTACTCACTCAGTCCATACGTACCTTTACGGCACTGGCCCTCATGCATGTTGAAGACATCAATCGAAAACATTTCACCAAAGGGATTCTAATGGTTTCGCATTGCCATACGTAAGCAGTCTTTAAGGCCGACCTACAAAATCCTCTTCTGCCGGGCAGAAAACCGGATCCCGGTTTCCTTCCCTCCGTTTTTCGCACTCTTCTCTCATCCTCTCCACACTAAGACGGGTATCTGAAATACTCCCCGCAGAGAGGAGGAGGCTTTCCCTCTTTTTCGGATGAAAAGGAGGAATGGCGGGAAAGTTTCCTCCTTTCTGCTTGTTGGTCGACCTTTAAGTGTCTCTGCCAAGTTTTTAGACAATCTCATATAGCCTGCAAGAATGAACGCGCCCGGGGTGGTTGGAAATAGGTTTGCTGCCGCAGGGGAGGACGCGTAAAAAGGGTGTGCCTTCGACAAATCACCCGATAAGGGCGAGGGAGAGTTACCCTCAAGGAAATACGGTCTGGTTTCGCATCCGAGACGCCATGCCCGTACCAGCGGGTGTGGTGGCAAGGAGGGTGCTTGCACCCCCAGTTCTCAGAGTGGGGGCGGGCACGGCGTGGGTGTCTTTCCCCCCTCCCTTCCCCCCCCCCTCCCTTCCCCCCCCCCCCTTCCTTTTTTTGAAACAGCCACCACTGGACAATGCAAACACTGGCCGGCGGCGCCGAAGGGATACAAAGGGCACCGCTCCCCCGCCCTGTCTGTGTCTGGGGGGAGGGGGGGTCTGGTTTGCCTCCCCCCCCCACTCAAAAACAAGCTTGTAGGCCACTGCGGGATGCGCACCGACATGGCGACGCTCAACGGCCTTCCTGCACTATAGTCCTAGATAGATATGCGGAAAAAACGTTGTTCTCAGAAGCTACCGTATTTTATCGCTTTTGGTCAAATGACCGTAAATGCAATTTTTGAGCAAACCATGAGACACCCAGATTTGGTGTGCTAAGATGATTGTGATTGATCAAGCTAAGGATTTTGTCAAACAAAAAAATAGATGTCCGTTTTCCCACGTCAAGTTCCTTGATCTGGCTTGATTTGTTCGTTTGTGCGTGTTGATGCTGCAATAAGTTGATTCGTGTAAAAGCGGCCCCGCTGCTTTGTGAATAGACCGATCTCACTAAGCGTTTCACGCATGCGTTATGCCGCCATAATTGTAGTTCACAGGAGGCAGGCGACAGCGCTCGAGGCAGCTCGTGCCGTCTAGGGCTCCGCTCGGGCCGACCCGCGGCAGGGTATGTCTCGCTTGCAGAAATTATACATTTCGCACTATGCAAGCCGGCAGAAGTGACGTAACAAAACTGGCTGGTGAGATCGGTCTAGTGTGCAAACGTCGGGATTGCAGCCATGGTCTCATTACCGAGAAGATATATACCTACGCAGGTAATACTTGTGTGTCATTTTGCTGGAGGCAATCGGGTGATCGGGACACATCAGATATGTCAGGTAGGCTCCCGTCATTTCGCCGGTTCGTGGGGTAACATCGCGTCCAGCATTGTCGTTACTTTGCGACCATGAACCAGCTGAAAGGGTGTGACCCCGATGGTCTCCTGTACGGCCGAGCTGTAGGCAAATGTGACGTACGGCAACACCTCGTTCCATGTCTTGTGCTCCACGTCGACGTACATGGAAATCATGTCGGTGATGGTTTTGTTGAGCCTCTCCGTCAGCCCGTTGGTCTGCGGGTGGTATGCCGCGGTGGGCCGATGGCTGATGTGGCTGAGACGAAGTATTTATTGCGTCAGCTGAGCCATGAAAGATGATTCACGGTCTGTGATCAGAACTTCGGGAGCGCCGTGCCGGAGGACGATGGACTCGATGGAAAACTTGGCGACTTCCACAGCAGTCCCTGAAGGAAGGGCTTTCATTTCGGCGTACCGCGTGAGATAATCTGTGGCGACGATTATCCACCTGTTTCCTTGCGTCGATGGTGGGAAAGGACCAAGTAGATCCATTCCGATCTGCTGGAACGGCGCGGTTGGGTGAGCAATCGGCTGCAGGAGGCCTGCCGGCTTCGTCGGCGATTTCTTGCGTTGCTGACACTCGTGGCACCATCGTGTGTAGAGGTGAACCGTCTTCGGCAGCTTGGGCCAGAAATACCTCTCACGAATTCAGACCAGCGTACGGCTGTAACCAAGGTGTCCGGACGTTGGGTCGTTGTGGCAGGCTTGAAAGATCTCCGCTCTAAGGTCGTTAGGGATTACCAGCAGTCATGGCGAGCTTCTGCCTCCGAAGTTCTCCTTTTAAAGTACACCTTGTCCGAGGACGAAGGTCGGCAGGGGTCTCGAGAAGACACGGGGGATAGTAACCCCTTGTCTTTCGAGGCGCTCGATTAGCGTGCGCAACTCAGGATCGTCTCTTTGGCGTCGCGCCATGTCGTCGCAGTTCACTGCGCCTAGAAAGCATTCGTCGTCATCGTCGTCGCTGCTACCGGGAGATGTCTCGACAGGGGCTCTGGACAGGCAGTCGGCGTCGCTGTGCTTGCGGCCTGACTTGTAGAATACGGTAATGTTGAACTCCTGCAGTCGGAGACTTCATCGAGCGAGACGTGCTGAAGAGTCCTTTAGGTTCGCAAGCCAGCAGAGCGAGTGGTGGCCCGCGACAACGCGGAAAGGGCTGCCGTATAAGTACGGGCGAAACTTCGTGATTGCCCAGACGACGGTAAGACATTCTTTTTCAGTCGTGGAGTAATTTC